GACCTGGCAGTGAGTGACAGGGAGCGGGTGGCAGACAAAGACCTCTGGACGTTTTTGGGTGGAGATGCCACGTATCCCTGGAGCCAGCTTCTGGCTCACTGCCTGCACCAGGCACAGAAGCCACACTGTCTCAGCGCCGCACACAGGCAGGAACAGGGCTCCCGGTGGCGCTGACACTACTAGGAGGAGGAGTGGTGCAGAAGGTAGCATGCAGGTAGATCAGCTTGCAAACAAATGTCTTCTTGGCACTGCCCTTGCATGCTGTTGCCATTTCACGATGTCAGCATGGCATTTAGATTGGGCAGCTGTTCAGAGGTGGCCCTGATCTAGCAGGCAGTGGGGGTGAACAGACTGACAGAGTCCCTTGGGTGATGCTGGGCCTACAGGCCCTGGCTCCATCCCTCCAGAAGGGTGCTGAGGAGGCAGCCAAGCCCCTGCATGGCTGCTCATCAGCTCAGGGTGTGCTTGCTATGTGCTTGTGTCAGTGAAGTCTAAACATTTAACGTGGGCACAGAAAGCGCTGCAGAGCGAGGCCCTAGGAGACCTTACTAGCAAAGAAGGGTACTCTCACTGCCCCAGCCCTACTGGGGCAGGTAACACCAGATGCATGCCCAGCACTGCATGGCAGTGTCGTGCACTTCCTGGGCCCCATGCAGGGGCTACCCATACCTCTCTCTCCCGGTCCCCATCACCTGCTTGGGCCAAGGCTAGACAGCTTAAAATACTGCAGACCCTGATTTAATGGCAGTCGAGCTGCTGTTCAGTTCATCTGGGCTCTCTGCCTGAGCATTGTTGATGTGATAGCTGGAGAAAAACATCATGTGAGAGCGGCCTGCACGTCCTGCTCCGGCATTCCTTCTGGGAGGACACAGAGCTGCCTGGCTGATGACTCGGGTCACCCTCTTCCTCACTCCACAGGGCGTATTTGTGAGCAGGGTGCGCAGATGCCTCACCGCAGTGCTCGGGGCTTGTTCTTGGTGACACTGCTGTCAGGTGGGTGCTGGCCAGGGACAGGTTTTCGCCCAAATACCATAGTGCTGTGCGGGTGTTTCCCCCACTTAGTGTCATGCTGTGCACCCCAAGCTTCCCTGCTGGCTCTGCCCATGAGGGAGGCCTTGTCCCACTTGTCTCAAGGGACTCGAGGTCTGCGGGGGGTGCCTCTGCTGGAGAGTGTACCTGGGGAGCCTCGGGGGCATGTTTAGTAAGTTTTAGTTCAGCAGAGTTCTGGTAAAACCCTACCAGTGTGTTGATGCAGCATTTCAGGACACAACCTCAACTTCTGCTTCACTGAATTTACTCTCTTGTAGTATTCGTTTTTATGACTGAAAATGTGGTGAAGAGTTCAGAAAGGTTCAGAGAGACTAAAATATGCCTTAAACTGTTGACTGGAGTTGTCAGAATCTAGTGAAAAAGTAACTAAGAAACTACTTGCGTGCACTATAAAGGAGATCAATTCAGTCCCTGTTCTTGATGGAGATTTTTGACAGTGCTTTTCAGTGTTTGGTTTCTGACTCCTGGATGCTCCGTTGACCATTTTTAAAGGTCTGTGGAGTAAAAGTAAGACAAGAAACCCTGTTCCCGAACAGAGAAAATTTTCTGAGATCTGAAAATTAGAAGAGATTGAAGGTTAAAACTGCACTAGGCTCCAAAGCAACATACAAACAAGAAGGATGTAAGCTTTTTTATAGTATCTAATGATGACTAACCATAATCACAGTTTACCTCAGGAATATGGTATATTCTTGTAGTCCTTAACTGAGAGTAAATTGTCTTCCTTAAAGTTCATCTGCTAAGTGAACAGAAATGATGGCCTTGATTTGGAAACAAGGGAGAGGGCAGTGCATTAGGTTGCTGCAATGATTTCTTCTGGCCCTAAAGCACTTGAGTCTATGAAGTACATTAAATGGTCATGCTATGCAACCCATACTGCCAGGCTTAGGATCCAGTCCGGGGAGTTGTGGAGCAGCCTAAACCCCACCACTGAACTGAGGACACTGAATTTAATTTGCATTTCAGAATCACATTTGCTAATTGCTCCTCTGATTCCAGCAACACATGTTGTAGTTTCATGTTACCCATTTAGTAGTAATTAAGTCTGATTTTTACATTGTGCTAATGTAAGATATCATCTTGCAGGCATCTAGTAAACATGTAATTTTACCCCATCTTACTTAGTGGTAGCAATAATTAACATGGGTTTTAGTATCAAGAGAAGAAATTACGTAAATAAAGCTGCTCCAAAGCGCTTGCCTTTTGCCTACCATTTCATATAATTGTGAAATGCTGGGAGGGGAGATGTGTGCTGAAATGAGATTGGATTATCTGAGCAATATGGCTTAAATACTGAACAGTATTAACAGTATGAATAGTGTTGTCAGTAAGGCACTAAAGGAGAGAACTGAGGGTTGTTTTGTCTGAAAGCATCCCCCAGGCTGAAAGCATGCTTTCCCCCCACCTCCCAGGCAAAAGCACGATGTGCTGGTGAGCTGGGTGGGAGATGTCCAGCACAATATTTCTGCTGGTCCACCCCAGGCCATGCACACCTCTGTATGTGCATGTAGGCACACAGACAAAAACGTGCTTTCAATTAAGAGCAAGCACAGTGAGTAAAATTCACGCTCCGTCAACACTGATTCCTGTTGCCACCACCAAGTTGTATTTTCTCCTTGGGAATCGTTAATGTTTGTTACTGGTGTATCCTGATCCTTATTTGCAATAGGATACTCCATTCCCCTGTAAAAATATTTTCTCAGGCTGCATGTTTTTTCCCTGTCTTATCTGTAGCATAGTTGTTATGCTTTTAGCTTTTGTGTATTATCTGGCCTGTCTTGGTTATCTTCTATCATTCAGAGCTGTGTTATTTAGGGAGATTTTCTTGCAAGTGACTTTGGTGGTCCCTTCTGTGCATCAGCTCTGCTGAGGACAGCCCACGGCACCCCTCTGTACAGTGAGCAAGCACCCATGGGAGCCCTCTCCAGGGCTGTGGGGGGGGTAGGCAAAGGTTTCACACCAGGGGCCTGGGAGCCCTCTGGCTCTTGCCACAAGCAAGAAGACCAGCAAGACCAGTGTCCAGACCAGCAAAGGTGGCAGCGAGCGTGGCACGGCCAGGTGCTGGGGTTTCTGTTTGTCTGCGCCTTCCCATTGTAGCTGGCCAGCATTGCTCAGCTCTCCTCTGTCATCTCTGGAGGCAGACAGGATCATGTAATGGAAAATGCATTTCATTCAAGGGAATATGCGCAGGGCTTATGAACAGATGCTCTGAAAAATGGAATTTCTTTGCTGTTCACTACAGTAGTGGTCTTTATCTGCACAGGGCTTTCTATAATCTTGGTGGGTAGCCTGGAGACCTGAAGATATCCACAAAACTTCCCATATTTTTCTTTGTATTAAGTGTATCTTCCTGTGCACATAGATGTCAGATAAATAATTATGAAAATTACTTTTAAGAACTTTGGACTGCCAGCAGGAGAGACAGCCTAGGAGAGGGGCAGCAGCAAAGCGCTTATCCTAGCCTCAAGGGGAGACAAAAATCATCATACAGATTAGATTTCTGGCAGATCTGATAACAAGAATATATTTTAACTTTCTGAGCAAAATTGCAGTATAAGGTCAAACTAAATTGAATTAATTTGTTTCTTGATAAAAACGGTTTCTTACTTAAATTAAGGCTGTCTTTTGCCTCATCGTTGTTGCTGTTCGGATTTATTAAAAAATGAATGAGTAAAGAGGAAAAAATATAATTTAAGGAATGTTTTTTAAGGCATTCAATTTTTAAGGGATTCAATTCTCCTTTTTAGTTTTTGTTTGGGTTTTGTGTTTTTGTTTTTTTTTTTAATGTGTCACCCCTTTAGCGAAAATACGAGCTCTAGTGTTCCAATTTTAAAGAAAAATTAGTGTGTAAAGCTTCCACATGAATGAATTTTCCTTTTCGGAAGTCACCTGGCATGTGAGAGCAGAGCTCACATGCCCTGAGAAGAAGGGATTCTCTTCCTCAGGACAGAGGTTTCCTCCCCTGGCCTCCTGTGCTGCACACTGTGCCAAGCGGCCGTGCAGGCAGCACCCATCGCTCTGGCTCAGCCTTTCAGAGGTTTTTACCAGCCAGGGCACTAGGGGCTGGTTTTCAGAAGCCACCTCCGTGCCCAGCTTCCTGCACCCAGCTGGGAGCCCACAGGAGACTCCTGGAGCAAGAGGCCATCTTGGGAGAGTTTGCCAAGTGGGGTTGTCTTACGTGCAAAGCTGGTTTACTTGGTAACAGGGAGGTACAGTGGGTATATGTTGTACATAGAAGGATTTTTTGTTCTTTCTCAATGTGAATGCTCGTCAAATTGATGAATGCCCTCTCATCCAAATAAAGTTAGTGCATTAAACTTGTTGTTTACCACATCTGAATTTGATGAAAAAATTAGAAACAAGTCAGTTCTGATTTTCTTGTTCGGTTTACACAACTGCAACAAAAAAGCATCGTATGTAAGAGGTTTTCTTCAAAGATGCTGTATTCCAGGTCTAGTGAAAGTGCAGAGCTGGTACTGTTTTCCTGGTCATAATGGTACTTTGACCACATGTTTTATTGTATGCTCAGTGCCTCTTGTTCCCCTGCACAGCAGAAAGAGAAGAGAGTCTTGGGCATTTGTGTTGTTGCACGGGCGGAGCCATTCTGAGGCCTCATGGGCACAGCTTTCACTGGTCAAAATGGTGTGCCCATAGCAGATGGGCATGCTGTGCTTTCAGAACAACTAATATTTGCTTGCCTTCAGCAACTTTTAAAAGAAACGGTGTTTTTTTAAAGTTGTACTGCAGAAATACATAACTTAGAGAAGCAAAGCAAGCAGCTAATAATGGAATCGTCAAGTTGCTCTGGTCAGTATGCAACAGCCTTGATCAGTTGCAGGGGCTTTCCTCCAGCTTGTAGCATGCATGTTTGCATTTGTTTTAGCTCAAGACATAAGGAATGAAGATACATCTATAGCTTCTAAGCCAGCTATGTCAATTCTCTTCTTCAGGGTCGATGTTCAAGGGAAAACTGCAAATATCTTCACCCACCACCCCACTTAAAAACGCAGCTGGAGATCAATGGACGCAATAACCTGATTCAGCAGAAGAACATGGCCATGCTGGCCCAGCAGATGCAGCTTGCCAATGCCATGATGCCTGGTGCCCCACTGCAGCCTGTGGTATGTGTTGCTTTTTGGCTTCTATCAGTGAGCACAGTGAGTTCTAGTTGAAGCAAGTTGTTAGCAGGTGTACTTGTCTGCCTATGAAATCCCACAAATGTCAGTAACTAGTGAAGAAATCAATATAGAATCATAGAAGCAATAGTTTGGAAAAGACCTTTAAGATCATCAAGTCCAATATAATGAAATGCTGGTCTGTATGTCTTTGTACTGCTTAGTTCTCCCTTGCCTGAATTAATATTGTTAATTAATAGTCTTTTGTTAATTTCATTCCCATTGCAACTTATTTCTTAAAATTAGGAAAGTGAGTGATCTGTGTGGGACTTTACGTAAATAGATGTTTCATTTGCAGTTTCATATGCTCTAGGAACTTCCTGGGTTTGAGACGATTCCCATTGGATGTTTTCCATTCACTCAGGGGAACCTTCTCAGGGTTGGAATTTGACTTTGGTTTTCACAGCACGTTGTCAGGCAGAGCAGAAATCTTGCTCTGAGTGATGTATGGTGCATATCAGTCTGACATGCAGGATCAACAGCTTAGGCTTGGCAGGAAGAAGGAGAAACACAGATAATCGTATTTTCTACAGAAGGACAAGGGATGGGGTAATGAGAGTCTATCAGAAATCTCTTGTCTGGTCACAGTAAAATGTGGTCACCAGTTACGTTATATCTGTTTCTCTTGTATCATAGTAAGGAGGCACAGTGCAGTGTTCCATGAAGTCGAATGCTGTGGCTGAAGTTCTTGCTCTGCAGTAATCCCTCGTTTCAGCAAATACAGAGATGATTGGCATCAACCCACTGTGCACGTACGCCTTTGGGAACTGAACATCCTGTGCCAGATCCCTCTCTAATGCAATCCAGAGAGGTCATTGAGCTAACCTATGGATAAATTTGGCCCTTGTGATATAAATTTCTAGCTCCGACATTAGAGGGTACTGACTAATGTATGAGCAAGACTGACGCTGATTAATGTATGAGCAAGGCTGGTATCTTCTACATAAAAAGGGAAACAATGCTTCCCTGGCAGAAGCTCTCCCTTTCAATTCGTAAAATGGCAGCAAAGGGAAAAATAAGTTCACATACATATGTATAAAATAAATATATCTTCATTAGTACTTTTCTGACAGTTATTTTATTTCTTTCTTGCTGTCAAAGGTAGAATTTAGGGAGATCTATTTATCTCTGTATACCTTCCATTAGAAAACCTGTATTCACTCTGTTAGGTGAGTTCTTCAACTTTTATTTCCAAAAACATAGTGACAATTAATGCTCCTCAAAATATAGCTAAATCCTTAGAAAAAATCATCTCAGCAGAAAGGACCCTCATGGTTATTTGGCCCCACGTTTTGTGGATCTACAGAATGCCACTAAATATTTTGTATCTTATTTGATTCAGTTAATGTAACTGTTATTCTCCCGCAGAGCTTTATGCCTTGGCTGTTTCAAGAAAAACTGTATGTGGGGGAGAAAAGCAGAAAATGTTGTAGGATTGTCACAGTAAATTGGCTTTAGAACCTGTTAGCCCAGTGTGAGACGATACCCCATTTTCTTTTCCTCTCTTCTGATAAAACTGTGTCACCCAGTCAAGGAGAGGATCTGAGGCAGCATCAGCGCACAGACACTACAGGCTGTGGCACTGCAGTGCTCCTTGGGACACCCTGGCACTGTGCTGCACAGCCAGTTCTTTGCCTCCCGTCTTGCAGGAGGAACGGGGCTGCCTGTGGGCTGTTGCCCGCTGCTGCTGGCTTTCAGATCAGGAACCAAATTAAGTGTCTGTACAGCTAGACAGCTCAAAAACAGGCTGTACTTTACGTGCTTCAACTCCAGAGCAACCTCAGAATTATTTTTCAGTTTCAACAGCTCAAAGCAGACGTGTACACATGCCACAATTTTATTTTTATTTCCTGATCTGAGTACAGTGACACAGGATTAGTGCCAGTAAAGTCATATTTGGGACTATGAGAAAACTAAAGTCAGAATGCAGCCAACAGTAGGAACCATTGCTTAAAATACTCTTCTCTGTTAACGTGCTTGGTTGGTTGTTTCATGAATTGTAACCAAATGTGGCTCTCTCAGGTTTATACAAAACAATGTGTAGGCACACACCAACACGTGGGTAAGCATGCAAAAAAGCAGTAATGCAGTCCTTTAGATTAATGTTCCTTTTTAATATAGAAGAGATTAGCATGAGGACATTTAAATCATATTTCAGTTCTCCTTTATGCTATGCTCACTCTGTCCCTAACAAGCAAAATTTAAGTCAGTGTGGCAAGTGCAGCACAACCCCTTCCATTTGCAGCTGGGTGATTCTGTGTGCATTGCTGGAGGTCAGGCACTGCAGGCTATTTTCAGAATTGAGTCTCATTCAGTACAAGGATTCATAGAAAGGTCCACTGGCTGCCACAGCAGTAGTGTTTCCAAATGGATGTCGTCTTACTAATTTGGTTGTGAAATTACTTTATTTCTTAGCACAGTTGAAACAGATGTTACTTCAGGATGTTCTTGGGAAGTGTTTTATACCATCCCATCCTACAATGCTTCAGTCAGTTTGCTTTGTTTTACTAAAATCAATACCCTATGCTTTAATAAAAGTAAGTGAACTAACTTAATGAGAGACTCTATTTTGGTAAGCAAAGCAGTAGGATCCTTTCACTCATATTTCTGTTTGAGAAATGTTTTCATTGTCTTAGTTGCAAGAATGTCTATGGACTTTTCCCATCTTTCCTTTTTAGTTCACTCTTTCATCTGTTTTTAGCTAGCACTTGAGGAAGGGGGTTTCTGACAGTGAGTGGGGTTTTCCTGAGCTGCGGAGCTGTTAGGCAGGCGTGGGTTTCTGCAGAGCGCTGGTGCGCCAGTCTGCTGCACGCTGCAGCTTCGTACCTGCAGCAGAGCAAGGTCACAGCCTTTCCTGCAGGTGTGTTTGTATCTCACAGGTAGCTGTAGGTTATTAGTGTTTCTCTCTGTGTATGTGGTGCACTCTTGTGCTTTCCTTGGTGGGGCAGGTGCTCTGTAGATGACTGTTAAAGATGTGTTAAATGAGTCCAGCTCCTTCCCTGCAGGCAGCTGGTCCCTCTGGGCCAGCAAGCTGGAGTGCTGGCATAAAGCCTGTCTGCCTGTCTGGGGAGGAGCCATGGCTCTGCTGTGCTGCAGAGGCTGATTCAAAAGGAGCCCCCATGTCTCCTTCCCAGTCGAGGGAGGAGCAAGCAGTGTCAGACCCGTGGAGGTCAGACCTGCTAGTGAGGCTGACGTTAGTTGCGCACAGGCAATTTTACAGCAGAATTATTCAGTAGAGGAGACAGCATGGGTTATGGGTCATCTGGCAGCACAGACTTGCATCCAAGGCTGTGTCTCCTTCACCTTTGTACTCTCTGCTAATCTCAGGAGCTGCTTTTTTGAGCAGTTTTGCAAGAGGCACAGCATAGCAGGACCCAGACTGCAAGGCCACTAAGTAATTCTGTGGTTTGGTCATGGTGATAGAGAAATAGTACCTCTGCCTCTAGAGATGGGAAGTGAAAGTTCACTGGAAAACAAGTCATCAGTAAAGAGCAGAGATGGGCCCCTCCCCTGTCTCTGCTGTGTCACACTGAGGGCCCAGTTCTGACCAGTTTGCAGTTACAGGCAGGGGATCCCAAGCTGACCCTCAGCTGATGCTCTTGGTTGTCAGGGCTGTGCTTGGGGTGACCCTCGTGGTAGAGTCCTACTCTTCTATATCCCATAGCCACCCAAGTCGGTGCTGGAGCAGTCGGGTGCTGGAGCAGTCGGGTAGCTTTGTGCCCTGGAAGAGTCCTGCCACTGAGAAGCAGTTGTGTGCTGCCCAGGGTCCACCACTTCATGGCCTCTTTCTGCCAGCAGTGTGGCTCTGAGTATGGGCCAGTACAACTGTAGTACAGGTTTTTATCTCCTAATTTACATGTGTACAGAACATTGCACAATGTCGATGAGTTTCATTATAATACAAAGTGGTTCTGTTAAAATATATTATTATTTTGCAGTGGTCATAAGATTAAAGACCACAGGATATTTATATTAGTATGAAATTATCTCAGTAGAAAATAAATGGGGTAGTCTTTTATTTACAGAGAGTATATTGGGCTGTAATCAAATACGGGTATCTCTTAAGTTACACAGTAATAGACTGGTTTGTAGTTTTATTTTTAGTGTTCATTATTACATAGCTGATAGCACAGCAGTGAAAAGTACAGTTAATTAATAGTGTACTTGAGAGTAAAATTTGCCTGTTTTTTTTTTTCATTCACATGGATAAAGAACCAGAGACGTTAAAGAAATTATTTCCATTCGTACAACTTTAACTCTTTTTTTAATTCAGTAATCTCTCTCTGGGTTTTTGTCCAGTGTTTCAAATGGACTTGTTCCGTGCTTCCAAACAGTTCAGTCATTTCCTCAGGAATACAAAAACATGTGGTGTGCTATGTTGTCTGGCTGAAATAGATACGAATCAGAGAAGGAGAGTTGCATTAACTCTGAAGTTGTTTTTCCCTCTAAAATTTAGTTTGGAAGAAGAGTCTAAATGCCTTGAGTAACTACTTTATTTAGATACTAAACACTCCAGACTAAATTTTATTTGGCAGTTACAGTGGTAGTGCAGTGCCTTTGCGTTCAGTGGGACAGAAGAGTTATTTAATCTTTACTGCAGTGTAACAGCTCCACATTTGGTCTTACAGCATTATTTGGTCTTCTATATCAATTATCTTCACAACATGTGATAGCCTTCAAGGGCATCTGACTCTTTTCTAAAACAAGCAAACAAAGAATAATAGTACTTGCATGCTCTCTGGCTTAATGTGTTAGTCTAAATAAAGCATATCCTTGATGCAGTGTATTTCTTTCTGAATATCTGCATGTTCAATTTTGTAAAGCTAAGTGGTTGTGGTCATCTGGTCTTATTCCTGTATTAAACCTCTGTAATTTCTCAATCAGTGCTGGCTGTCATCAGGGTCAGAAACCTATTTATCTGTGTCTAAAGCTAAGTGTGGTGTGACAGCCTGTCAGGGCTCTTGTGCAGATGCCTTTCTCCCTGAGAGCGGATGTTTATACACATTTTGGACGTGTCCCCCTGAGAGCCCCAGGCTTTCTTCTGTGGCCAGGAGTGCTTGTTTATGGTGGCATTGCTCAAGTGCAGATCAAATGAGTTTGCTCCATGAGCAGCTATGCGTTGGGAGCATGCAAGGGAAGCTTGGACAGGAGAACCAGCAGAGGCTGGCAGGGGAGGCTTGTCCTTGTGGTCTTGCTCATGTGTGACATTTGCATGGGTGTTCTTCATGTCCTGCAAACTTGGCAATTTTTTTTTCCCATCAGTAACAGAAACTCACCACAGTTGTGCCCAAGATGACAGCCAAAAAGTTCTTACATTGACAACATGGCAAGTATAAATATTTGAAATGTGTTTCTTCTTTTCTCTGATTGCAGCCGATGTTTTCTGTTACACCGAGCTTAGCCACCAACGCGTCAGCCACCTTCAACCCCTATCTGGGGCCTGTCTCCCCAGGCTTGGTCCCGGCGGAGATCCTGCCCACTGCCCCAATGCTCGTGACAGGGAACCCTGGTGTCCCGGTTCCTGCCGCTGCTGCTGCTGCTGCCCAAAAGCTAATGAGAACAGACAGGCTGGAGGTAGGAGCCAATATGTGTAACTTACTCTCACAAGTTGTATCATTTATTATGTCTCCTAGATATAAAATACTTTTTGTGTAAAAGAAAATAATGCAGGTTTTACTTCAGCTGATAATACTAAATCTCAGTAACAGGTAAGGATGGGAAGTGACTGAATGATTGTACAGTAAGTTAATGCTTGTGTTTCTGCTTCTGACCCTTCTCTACAGAAAGAAATGGAAATACTGAGCCTTTTTAGGAATATCCATGGCAGCAGCAAGCGCACCTCAAAACTGTGTTGATGTATGCCCAGAAGGTGTTAATGTGTGCAATGGCGGGAGTCCATGGGCATGGGTACTGAGCACCAGGGGCAGTGTAAAGGCAAAGCTTCAGCTGCCTGGGTAAAAGATGACTTTCAGCCTCTCTCTTAAGGTTCTCTCTGGACAGATGGTGCTGGCACTCCCCCACCGACCTCCCACACCCAGCTTATCATCCTTGCTACAGCCCTGACAAATGTTAGTGCTCTCTAGCTGGTGCTCTCCCGTGCCCTCAATCTTACTTATCTGAAAGGCCTGACAGTGTTTTCGGCACCTTATCGGGGCTGCAGCAGCATGGGTGGTGAGCCAGTGACATGCCACCAGCTGCCACGTGCTTGGGGCATGCCTGCAAGCACAGCCTGTGTGTGGGCACATACAGCCCTGGTAAGGTCCAGTGGTTAAAAGGCAGCAATGGGAGAGGATGAGAACATGGGCTGATCCACTGTCACCCTGGTTGGTTGTTGTACATGGCGATGTGTTAGGGCATGCACTGCCTACGGGAGATCAGCTTTGATTGGCAGTGGAGAGAGATGAGTGTTGCTATGACCCATCCCTGCAGCCCCAACCTTCATATTCTGCACTCAGCCCCCACCTCAGTGGCCTGTGCTCAGCACCAGTTTTTCTGTAGCATTGGTGCAGCAGCAGGTTGCAGAATTCCTTGCAGCATCTCTGCATGGGAAGGGTGTGATGGCTTGGGAGTGCAGGGGTGGATGGGTTGTTCTGCTCTTGGTTATGGTCCCTGAACTCAGGGAGCATGATGGGAGGAACGAGAAGGCTCTCTGTTTCACAGCGCATCTAGTTGTAATTGTAATGCTTTTCTTTCTGCCCATGTATCTGCATTAACAGGGATTAACTCCCCTTAGAAGGAAAATTAATTCCTTTTTCTTAGTTACATTTTTGACTGATGAGCTGCTGCTCAGAACGCTGCAAGTTGGGAGGAGCGTGGAGAGTCATCTGGCAGCAAGCATTTCCCGCTGCCACTGTCACTATTCTGAGACTTCACATCACCACAGGTTCCCCTTCTGTGGGATCGCGTCATTTCCCTTTTTAGAGATGTTTTCTCCAAGGAAAGCGTTCCCCAAAGCATGCTCAGGTTACAGGAGAGGCAGCCACACTTTGCTGAGAGCTGATACATGGGTGGCTGTTTGGAATCACTAAGGGATGTTTTTCCTGTGAGGACTCTATTTCACAATGGATACCTTCCAGAAGTGGATTAAAACTGAAATGCAATTAGATAAATTCATAAATAAATCATGCTAGATTTGGAAATCAGTACTGAGAGAGGATACCAGTGGCAGGAAGCCCTTTGGTTCACAATGCCATGGTTAGCTGCTGTGTTTGATTGTGCTTCCACCTCTGTAGAGGCCTTGGTGCTGGTCAGTGGTGCTGGGGAAACATGGTCTCAAAACTTTTCTGTTGCTAAGCAAGAGCAGGACATACCTGAAGTCCCTGAACACCAGCTCTGCTTGTGGCTGGGAAAGTAAGTACATCCGTGGGAGCCCAAGAGTGAGTGCATGGCAGCACCTCTTCATGTAGTGCCTCCAGCGCAGACTGTGACCAAAGTGCACAGGGAGCTAATGAAATCTGGGGCTTCATATGCAGGATTTGGTCCTCTGGATGCTTGTTTTCTCTTTATATAGCTATTTAGCGAAGTGATACACTACTGAGCCAAACTCCTCTGCACAAGAGGGAGTTGTGAGAGTCTTACTCTCACAAAACACCCAGGGCACAGTCTGCAGTAAAAAATGTTTTATCGATTAGGAAAAGCCAGCAGAACCATCTGATGCCAGTAAAATTAAAAAAAAAAAAAAAAAAAAAAAAAAAAAAAAAGGCTGGGTGGTTTTGCTTTGAATTTCCATGGAAAAGAAGATGATGGCCTTAGAAACTCCTGAAAAAAAAAAAAAAGCAGAGACTTTGAGTGCCTCTTTTGTCACCTTTCCTGGTGAAATGCCACTGTGCAAGGACTCCTCCGAGAGCAGACTTCATTTGCTGCAGGAATTGCTGTCGTGCAGAAACGTGCTGGGTCCCTGCGTTTTGGCTGCGCTCCTGCAGGGCAGCACCCTACACCAGGGGGAGCCCGCGGCACCGCTGGGAAGGCAACATCAGCCCTCGTGGGCTTGGCTCAGGGGCAGAACGCTGTTGAGCAGGGCACTTATTTCTCAGCCATGTGAGTAAGGTCCCAGCTCATCAGGACCCAGCAGCCTTTTCTGTGGTAGTTGCTTTTGTCTTGATGGGTTCTGCACGTAGGAGATGAATTTGTCCTTCCTAATGGGACCCTTACCTTGGCTCTGCTCTAGCTATTGCACCATGTAGATAACTTTAGAGAAATCCAGCTTCTGCTGCCCTTTAAGCTGCTTAAGTTCTTATTTTGGCTGGGACCAGAAGCACATCACAGAATCATAGAATGAATCACATCCAGGTTGACCCACCAACTCTGCAATTCCACACCATGATGCTTTCTTCCAAAATCAGTATCTGTTGTGGGGAGAGGGTGTCTTTTCTTCTTCCTTTTTTCCTTCAGCAAATGCAGTTCAAGTAGTGAAATATGTAGGTGAGAAAATAATTTGCTACTGCTTACCAGTATGGGTCATTTGATCTGGAGTATCCAAATTTAGTATAAAAATACCAAGTAAGTACATCATTTCTATTAACAGCAAAACATCTTAATGGACTTTATAGATTATGGAAATGCAGAACTGATTTGAGAGATTTTGCATGGTCTGGTTGTTACCTCTCAGAGAAGCCAGCATGTGTCCACCTGCTCTATAAGTTAGATTATTGCTGTCAGTATTGTCATTTGTTATGACACGATTAGAGAGCTTTATAAGGCTTAGCTTGCTCTCCCTGGGAATGAACTGTCCTTCAGCAAAATAACCACTGTGATGTTAGCATCTAATCTTGGAATATGATTTGTTCTGCTTAGAATTTTAAATATTTATTTTCAAGAATTATGTACTCTGGCATAAAGTAAGTTAGCACACGTGTTCTGGGATACTGAATCAGACTGTTCCACAATCAAAGCTCTCAATACATGTACCTCGGATTTTAAGAAAAGCAGGCAGACAGCACAAATCTGTCTGGCAGTGTGCCTGGTCTCCTGAATTAATATGAATATTCATAAGATAAGGTCAGTGGCTGTTACTAGCAGTAGGATTGATTTCATGTGTATTTGGACTGTTGCCTATACAGATAGCATGCAGATGTTTGGGTGTCCAGTGTGTTCAGCCACTCCCATAAGGAACCTGGATCTCAGGGGGGAAATTTCATGGGTTGAGGCCTTTCCTACAGCTTTCCTCACACTCCTCTCCTGCCAGAAATATCTTGAACAAAAGCATGGCTCTTTCAGTGAACTAGAAGAAAAGCAAGGATAGGGAAATGAGAAAGTAATTGCCTAAACACTTTATTTAAAACACATGTGTTTATATTTAAATGCCATCATTTTCTATTAGAAGTGTTCAAGAGTCAAAAATTACCACAACCAAGCTGCTGTTTCCTGCTTATTTCATATATACCATTTTTTCCAGAAAGAAGCAGCTTAGAAGTGCCTGGAGATTTTTAGATCTTGGGTAATCAGAAAATCTGACCTAGTGGTGCCATTTGCTTAAATGTTTGCAACATATGGGATAACAATATGCCCATTTTGATAAATTCTCTTCAATGCAGAGGAGACAGGAGGGGTGACTTACCTTGGAAGTGCAGGGATCTCAGCTCTGTTGTCCATGGCCCTCTGACCAAAGCTCTGTCCAGCTTCTGGGTGAGCAGTGCAGGACCTCTGCCATAGGTGTGGTGACACACCGGTGGGCTCCTCACCAGTGTGGGCAGCTTAAGTCCGAGCAGGGCAGTCAGAATAAACACAGACCAAAGTCAGAACAAGTTAAATGAATTGCAACAAATCAGTAAGATTGCGGCACTAACTCAGCGTTTTTGTCAACAGGCCAGAGACCCACAGGTGCCTCTTCTGTTTATGTTTCTGAACATACTAAGTTGAAAATTATGATAGTAATTACAGGGCTGTTAATAAATAACTAAATAAAAGTTCTCCAGATCTGAAAGACCAGGCAGCATGCCATACTTCTGTGCCTTTCTCTGCTCAAGCAGATAAGTGAAATATTGCTGCATGCCCATGGCAAAAAAAAGCACCACCGTTTTCAGTGATTGCTTTTAAGTAAACAAGGATTGGAAACAATCTTGGTTACTGTCACAGTGGTTCAAAAGCCATTGCTGGTCACACTCATTAGAAGGACTGCCAGTATTATGGTTTGTGTCTGACTGCTGTAAACCATCGTTCAGAGATCTGCTTAGGAATACTGAGAGCAAGCCATTCATCACCTTATCTCAGCTACTGCATGACAGCTCTGTGAAAATTTGCTCTGGACAAGATTATCTCTGCCTAACTATTTCAGCTTTCTGGTCATTCTTTGGTTTTTAACTATGGTAAAATTAGCTCACACAGCAGATACCAGAAGAATTGTGATTCTGATGGCTTAAAAAGGCACCACATTCTTCCCAGTCACTGAACTGGCTCATTTGGCTCTGCTGCAAATATACACCTAGAGTCTTTGTCACTGCATGGAAAAAAGTTATAAATAGGGTCACGCTGAAATGACACTGGACGAATTGATGTTTCCTGTGAAGGGGCTTCACAAATGGCATTGTTCTTGTCCTTTTGGGATGTCGTTTCATGATTTTTAGGTGATGGGCAGCTGGTACTTGAAGCAGCGCAGCGGTTAAAAAGCAGCTAGAGCACTAGCATGGATGGAAACCAAGTAACAACCAAATTTGGTTTGTTGCAGGGATCAAAGCCAGGTTCTTGAGGAAATACTGATGGTCCAAGCTCATGGGCACCCACCTTGAAAAGGAAATTCCATCTACTAAAGTGGTTTTATTTTTACACAGACTTACTTGCTTTTGTCCCCTTGTTTCCTATACCCTTTGGAAAACTAAAGTGACAAATGCATTTTTGTTTGTGGTTGTGAAGAGCTGACCATGAAAGGAACACACATCATTTTTTCAAATGCAGGGTTTGCAAGGTGTGTGAAGAGGGAGCTGCTGTTTGTCACACAGGTGATGAGAGTCGTGTCTGCTCTGCTGGTGGTGGCCGCAGGTCTTTGAGGGCTCTGTGCTGTTTCAGGCCGGCCTGGAGTCCCTGTACCAGCAGAAGGGGTGCTGCAGGGGATCCCTCCAGCCGAGCAGGTTTCTTGGTGCCATTTCTGATTCCTTCAGCGTTGTTTGGCTGCTGTCACACGGCAGCTGTGTGGCAGCAGGAGCAGTGGCCGCCCTGGCTGCACCCTCTACTCTTTTCCACCACTGCCCAGCTTCCAGCTGATCCACAGGGCAATTGCCGGTCAGCCCAGGGGAGGCAGTCACCACCACTATGGGTTTTGGATTGCTCTCTTGTGGCACACTTCTGGATGATGGCAGGCGGTGCTGTACTGTACATCCGGTGGGTGGAGCTCGCTTCCTGGCACGGGCACAAAGCACCTGTCTGGTGGGGCTGCTCGGGGACAGCCATGCAGTCCTTCTTCCAGCACCTCTGGCCAGTCACCTTAACTATTGCGTTGAGTCTTGCTAACTTGGTCACAGCCAGATCACAGCGGAGTGTGACCATATCCAAGCACTGTGGTGCTTGGGGTGATCTCTGAGAGCAAGCCACGGCACGTTTCTTCAGAAAACAGGAAAAAACTGGTGGGCAGCTAGGTGCGAGCCAGAATAGAACCTGCTGTGTTATTGGCTCTTAATCCTGGTGGGTTTTCGTGCTCCGACATCAGAACTGGCTTTAGAGCAGTGTCTGCTGCCAGAGAGCCAAGCCCACCATCTGACCACTGCTGTGTTCTGTGGTGAGACAGGCACTCGTTCTTGCAACACTCTCACAGATGTTCAGAAATCCTAACTCTGATTCAAGCTGTGCCTGCAACACCCATCACCCAGGTTAAGCAACTTTCTGTCCTGGTGTTGCAGGTATGTCGAGAGTATCAGCGTGGCAACTGCAACAGGGGAGAAAATGACTGCCGGTTCGCTCACCCCGCCGACAGCGCAATGATTGACACCAACGATAATACGGTCACTGTCTGCATGGATTACATCAAAGGGAGATGCTCACGGGAAAAGTGCAAATACTTCCACCCTCCTGCACACCTGCAAGCCAAGATCAAGGCTGCCCAGTACCAGGTTAATCAAGCTGCAGCTGCCCAGGCAGCAGCGACTGCAGCTGCCATGGTAAGTTTGGAAAACACCTCTGGAACTGAAGTATGTTGAGGAGAGACAATAACTGATCTGTAATAGCTGTTCTTGCTGGAGGGGGGTGCGTGTGCTCGGGGTCCTAGCCACTACTTGGTGCAATGAGCTTTCTCAGCATGTGGTGCCAGATCTGCTGTCAAGTAGTTTCAGACCGTTAAGGTGTTTCACTAATTTTGCCTGCTGATGTACAGAGTATCTATATGTACATATATGTGTGCATACATGTGTGCGTGTCTGTACGTGTGTGTGCATATATGTATATATAGTTTATTGTATGTTTGTGTGGGTAGATGTGTATCTATCTAGTTGCACGGATAGATAAACCTGTATTTCAGTTACCGTAAGTCCATGTCTGTAGAGACTTAGTTTGAAGTCAACCTTATTGTGTTAATGCTGTTCATAGCCCACTTCCCTGTTCCCTACCTGAGGACTGTCAGCAGCTCTCGCCAGGCACTAGAGCAAACCTCCTAGTCGTAGCAACCAAGTGTGGAACTGTTCAGGGACTGGTGTCCTAGTGAGGAGAGGACAGCACCCTGAGGAGGGCCCTGGAGGCACATTGTCCTGGCTGTGCTCAGCCCATGGGGGTGTGGGAAGAGGAGCACAGCAGGCGTGCTGGGGCACGGTGGCCAGGGGGAGCAGGAGCAGCGGTGCGAGGCAGTGGCCGCGGGCTCCCAGAAAGCACTCCACTGCCGGCCAGCGCGGGTGGTGACCGGTTATGGGGAGCCCCGTCTGTGCTCCTGCGTAGCCCTGAGTGCCCCGCGCCTCACCCGCCTGCCCGCGCGGGGCCGCCTGCCGGCCCCCCGTGCATGCCTAGTCTTGTTACCGTTGTACACGGCATCCGGTGATTTGTTTTTATTTGTTTTTTCTCACCTACCCAAATGCACTGCTGCCCCCATGATGCACCTCTGCTTGCTGTTTATGTTAATGCGCTTGACCCCACTGGCCATTGCCATCATGTGCTCGCTGCCTGCTAATTAAGACTCAGTCGGCTGTCAAATCACTGAAGCGACCCCTCGAGGCAACCTTTGACCTGGTACTATGACCTTTCACCTTTTAGCTTGGCATGTAGCTGTATCGTAGAGTCGAGTTTGGGGTTAATGTGTAGAAACGGAATATCCCGCTTTCCCTCCCTTACCCCTGGCCAGAGGCAAGGGGCGGCCAGGCTGGACTAGGCCCCAGAGCAGGGCTCCAGACTCCACCGCCCCTGCGCTGCACTGGCCCCCTCCCGTCCCCTTCCCTCCCCTCCCATCCCCCTGTCCGTCCGTCCGTCCATCCCGTCCCATCCCGTCCCCTCCCCAAGGGTGCCATGCGGGCGGCCGTGGCGCAGGGCCAGCCACGGGCGCAGGGTGCGTTGGCATGGCTTCGCGGCGCTGTGGCGCGGAGGTGGCCTGGGGGTGCCGGCATGCGGCGCGCGCTCTGCATGCCCGGGCAGGCGCTGGGGCCCGGGGAGTGGGTAGTTGCCAGTGGCCCTGCCATCTGCTCCGGACGGTGACTATTAACATTGCTTCTATGTGTTGATCCTCATGGAGCTAGCAGTGCTGCTTCACCCTACCCCAATAGCCTCGCTCCTGACCGAAACCCTGAAGCTTTACAGTAGCATAATATTTATGCCAGTTCCCATAATGTATGGCTCCGACACATTACCTGTGCCGCTGTAATGGTAGGCTAAAGTAGTGCTCCCTTGTAAATCTTTTACCTTGCCTTTTATTTGGTAGTTAAGTCTGCTATGCTGCTTGCTTGCTCATGGATAAACATGGTGCTGCCTATTTTTTTGCCTTCTACTGATATTTCTTTTTTCCTTTCTTTCTTCCTTTTCTTCTCCCTTCTGTCCTCCTCCACCCCCCACCCTCCCCCTTTTTTTCTTCTTTTTTTTACTGGACTTTATTTTTATACCCATCCACCATTCAGGGAATTCCTCAAGCTGTACTTCCCCCATTACCAAAGAGGCCTGCGCTTGAAAAAACCAATGGTGCCACCGCAGTCTTTAACACTGGTATTTTCCAATACCAGCAAGCTCTTGCCAACATGCAGTTACAGCAGCATACAGCCTTCCTCCCACCAGGTAAGTGCTTCTCATTTGCCTTTTTTTGGGGAGGGAGAAATGTGAATTCTGGAAAAATACACTAGGAAATAACCGTTTGTTCCTGGTGGCAAATGCATAGAGGTATTTGTGCGTGCAGCGGACACTGGTGCTGGGGTGAGCTCTGCGGTGCCAGTGAGCCACTGGCCAAGGAGGTGCTGACTGCAGGAAGGCTGGCTTCTCTCTGCTTCTCTTGGAAGCTGGGTGGGTGTTTTCCAGTCTAACATAAAAATCAACATCATCTTCTGTCATCCCAAATCAAAATGTGAAATCTTTTGTCTTGTTCCTCTTTCCCTCAATTAACTTCTCTTCGTTACACATCTCTCAGGCTGTTGTATTTGTTTCTCTTTGCTGTAAGACCCCTTTGCCTTTGTGTGCTTAGCAACAGTTGTTCTCAGTCACACACTTGGAAGTTTTGATTTTAATTACAGTGCGGTGATCATAAAAGGCACAGGCAGGCAGTCTCACAGGTAGGCTGATCATGAACCTACACAGAAAGGTTCAGGCCTCTACCACAAAAGCCCCAGGGCTAATTTTGGATTAAGCAGAGCCAAGGTGCACCTGTTCTTATTCAAGAGTGATCAAATCTACACTTGTCTCAGAAGAATTGATGCCTGTGTTACTTACATAAACAAAAGTCCCTTCAGAGGACAAGTGATGGAATATATGTTTTGGTTCTGCAAACAGCACTTCATGAAGAATTGTGTAACTAGTATGCCATGTGAATTTATACCTGTATTAACACAGATGAGTTAGTTTTTCACTATGAACCCACATTAAAACAGCACTATCATTCTAGGAGGTATGCAGAGGATTTCTGATAGATCTGTACTCAGAAAATCAGAAAGGGTCTGTGAGGACAGCCCTTCGTAATGCAGACTAGTTGAGGGAGAAAAGAAAATACAGCTATTCAGTCTTTACCAAGAACACCTAAATATTTTATCCTAAACATTTTTGGCATGTATGTTCCCAGGAATTCAGTATAATGCCTTTTACTATTCTTTTTTGATGTCACATACAACTCGCAGGTGTAATTTAAATGTCACAAAAGTCAGTTGCTTGATGTAGTAGCTTGATTTTAATAGCTTACAACCTCTGAAATCTTATTAGTTAGGCTTTTGCCTATTGCGAAGCTTGTTCAAGTCAATAGAAAGACTGATTGAGTAAGTTTTAGATCAAATCTCTACCCACATTCTAAAATTCATATAAAAACGTGTGCAATCAGAGTCCTTCCTGTAAATATTAAACATTTGTTTTGGCAAAGCATAACTGATGTAATTAGCAAGCCATTAAATTTTCCAGCTTCCATTAAATTAGTGAGGGGCTGGATCATTTCTGAAAGTACTCAAGCTGATTTGAATCACACTCTTTGAACTTAGAAGCTGTCATAATGGTTCATGTGCCTCAGAGCTTACTTGCACTACATAATTGACCACGATCTTTGACGTTGTCACTTACACACCACCTACCTCAGCCCTTCCTCTAGCAAATCTGTACTGAAACCTACAGGAGTTTGCGCAGTGGTTCCTGATGAGTCATTTGACCTTTCTGGACCACTGAAGTTCAGTATATGTTAAACGAGAAAACCAAAGTATTTTTTAGTGTGAGCTACATTCTCTTTTTATATTTTTCAGACAGCAGCTGTTTGAGCTTCCCAGTAATAATAATAATGTGACATTTTTCAGGTTCAGACACTCAAAGTGTAATTACTCATGTGCGTTCTTACACTGCTTCAGCTGCAGTGTATGAAAACGCAGGAGGTCTGAGGGCAGGACACTTGTAGAACCTACACAGTGTCAGTGTGTCCACTGTGTAGGATCAGTATGTACCTCTGTGGAGGATCTTGGCAGGACCTTCCTCTCTGCAGGGCACTTTCCTTTCAATGTTTCACCCTTGAGAGTTTTTCACTCATGGTCCAGACAAACCCATATACTTCTTCAGAATTGTAAGGCAGAATTCTGGCTGCCTGTATGCAAGGGCATGCGAATGCAAATAAAAGGATCATCTGTGCCAGCCAGGGGTTAGACAGCACTCCAGCACACTTTAAATGATTATATGCTCTTAGATACTCATCTCACTGCTCTTGAATAAAGCTCTCTCTTTACATGGCTCCCCTCTTGAGGTCTCCCAGAAACCTTGACTGCTGGAAGTTGTCCCCAGACTGAGAGGGAAGTCTGAAAGGCGTTGCAAGAAAGAACAGGGGACACTTGTGGTGTTGGCTAGTTGAAATAAGTGGAGGTAGTCTGCCAAGTGTGGAGGCTTGGCATGACTTAGTAGATGTTCACAGCTGGTTTTGGTACTTTGGACCTGACTGCTGACTCCTGACACCTTGGCAGATGTGTGGGCAAATGTTTTGCTGTGGGGCTGTGAACTTGCAGAGCACCCATTATTTGGCATTCACTACTTCCACACATTTGTCCTGCAGTAACTGTGAGCTGGCTGGGGGTATGTTTATAAGTGCTGATAGAGAGCTCCTGTGGGCATGTTTATATGTGCTGACAGCTCCTGTGGGCAACAAGATAAAATTCTTGCCCTGGTGCTTCTTACCATCCTGTGCCTCAGCTCACTGTCTCCTCAGTTGTGTATATACAGCTGTTCTCAGCCTGTGTATGTCAACTGGGCAGCCAGGCAGTCTTTGAGAAGCATAATCCTCTAGAAGAAGGGGGTCAGTTTTACAGTTTACAGGAGCTGTTGTCACGATGCACCTGCAAGGGGCAGAATTGTATCAGGGCAGCTGAACTGTGGAGCCAGCCTGGAAGGGCTTCAGCCACCTCTGCCGTTAAGATAACGCATTGCACTTTCATGTAGTTGCTCCAGCCTCAACACCAGAGAACTTGCTCATGGGTGGGACTCAGTGCACATTTTCTTAAAGTGGTGTTTGTGTGAGCACCTTTATCCATGAGGCTTCTGGGTCTGTGTAAAACCACTGCTCTCCTCCAAGATGTTAGGGAGAGAAAAATAAGGCACAGCTGTTTACCTTGACAGGAGTGCTTATGCTTTCTATGGTGGTATTTCTAATTAGGATTTAATATATTGGACTGAAAAAATAGACTGAGGGGAATAATAGGAGGAAGTAAAGCTCCAGCAAACATAGAATATTTATAAAAATAGCTTTATGCCACTGTAGAAATAGTCTGGTTGTGAAGTTATGATCAGTTAACTGAGAACATCCTTGAATTAAAATTCTGCCTTGTGCTGAAAAACTAGGGAACATTCGAAACTGCACATTTATTATTCATGTGTTCTCATTAGTCAGTCAAAGCTTCTGAAGTCAAAATGAATATTAAGGTCATAGCAAAAATTATTTTTATTTCAGGTAAGAGGGTCATACAGCATTATGTCTTCATATTTGCAAGTTATTGCACCCTAGCTAGTATTTTCATTTCTGCCTGTGTTCATTTGCTTCAGCTCCCTTTCAAAACTGTGTGCACTGGTTATAATGTTAATGATGACAAGTCAAACTAGAATTTCTATCTGAAAAGCTTTACAGTGATATTTCAGAGCCATTATTAATATCTAACTTGTCTTTAATGTGTAGACATAATAATGCATGGAATGATGTAGTATTCCAGGTCTAAAAAGTATGTACAACGTTATAAATAGGGCACTTCAGCACAGAGACAGAACTGAAGGGTTCTTCTCTGTAACCGTATTAACACCATAGAGATGTCATAATAGGGACTGAGAAAGCAGTTTTACATACTGTTCATACTTTATAAACAAATTTTGCTTCATTTTTTAATCTTGCAAGTGATTCCATTGACTTCAGCCATGATTTGTGCATGGGGAAGTCAAAAAAGCTACCCTTCTTTTACTCTTTCTTCATTAATATTTTCAGTATCTTCCATGAAGGAGAGATAGAAGAGTAATTAGGAAAAAGTAATTAGGAAACATGCTTTTTTCTTTGTGGCCTTACATATACAGTGATGACAGTGAATAACCTTGTCCCAAGCAGTAACTATACTGATTGACTTTTTCCCTGCTTAGTTAAATGCTCCTGAGATTGATCAAGCCACTAAAATGTTTGGCACCAGCTAAACGACTTCCTGTCCCCCATTTATGTCATGTAATGTCAAGGAAGCAGCATTGCCGTGGCTCCCATTGGCAGTCTTCTAGAATTTGTTTCCATTTCCACTACAGTCTGTGGGATTTTAGATTTTATTTCAGCTTGTGCTGTGTCAGGCATAATTAGTAGTGTTAATAAATGTTATTATTAAATAAAAAGTGAATTGGATAGTAAAAATTTATATCCTGAAATATCAGTATATATTTTTCTATCATATTGGAAGCAAAAATATAAGGTTCTGAGTTCAGTCTGGTGGAAGGCATTTTGCCGTTTAAAGTAAACAGAATTACCAACTTAGCGACAGATAAAAAAATGATACCATAATGTTTCTAAAACCACCATACTGCTGTTGGCTCTGGTTGCAGGGCAGAAATCACCAGGTGCTGCCCCTTGAGTTATTTTTGTGTAGCCTAGGGGAGTTGCAGGTTGTGAGCCTAGACACCAGCAGCTTAAAATACCTCCCATAATCATAGAATCATAGAATAGTTAGGGTTGAAAAGGACATTAAGATTATTTGCTTCCAATAATGTAGGAACAAATGCTGAACAAGTGTCTTAGGTGCTGCCCTGAGATGCACAGGAGACATTAGCTATTCTGTCGCTCCTCTGAGCTGTGTATTAAGCACATAGATGCAGAGGACAGCCAGCATCATTTCCACTGCACCAGCAGCTCACAGGGGTCATACAGATACAACCAAGGCACTGCTAAGACCAGAAGAGGTTTAAAATAAAGCTAAAGAAACTTTTCCTTGCCATGCTAATCCTCCATGGTACTACAAAGGCAACCACAATAAACCAGCACACAGTTCAAGGAGCTCCTTCTCCTTCACTGAAGACTAGTTGGAATGGATCACTGTGCTATTGTATGGTTTGATTGTGCTGACAGTTACATGCCACTGTTCCCATAATAACAATTTTTCTTCTTTGTTCAAATGAAATTTCTAATTACACGTGTGATGGGTTGTTTTAATTCTTTTCCCTTTCCAAATCCACCTTCCTTCAATGCATGATGGGCAGGCTCAATATTGTGCATGACACCCGCTACAAGTGTTGGTAGGTGCCAGCTTTGTTTCTTGATTATCTTAAACCTGTGGTGCAGCTCACAGACCCTCAAAATCCACTGCTAGATTTTAACTTATAGCTCTCGTGCCGGTCCACCTCCCTTAGCCTCCTGCCCTAACACCTGTCAATTAAATGCAGTTGTTTTGATTTAATTGACATGGACACATAGATGTTGTTAATTTTGTAGAGCAGTTTTTTGAATTGCACATTGTTCTTTGGTGGATTTTGATTGGACTATGAGTTCCAGTGTTTAGAAACTATCTTCTGTTATATAAAGATTGTATCTTACTATAGCCACATACTGTCCTTCAACAAGATTAATTTTTGTTTGCAGTAAATATTTGGGTTGAATTTTTTAAAGACAAAAATTTGTAAATATAAGGGCATAAGAATTCTTCTGTTGATTTTTGTATTGAAATAGTTAATCTTGTTTATATTGATTTTCTTGATTTGATGGTAACAAGCATTTTCCCCTTTTTTTCTCTTTCATTTCCCACCCCTCTTTGTCCCTGGAATGTTGTCCTGCTTTGCACTGTGATTGCATGTCACGCGCTGGCAATGATGTCTCGGGCTTTTTGCTGTGATAAATACCATGCTCAATTCTCCTACCACATGTCGCTCTGGTTCCCATACTGCTACACTCTTCTGTATGTTTGCTTATATGATTTTCCTTCCGAAAGTTCCCATGGTGCACGGTGCTACGCCAGCCACTGTGTCTGCAGCAACAACATCTGCCACAAGTGTTCCCTTCGCTGCAACAGCCACAGCCAACCAGGTTTGCTAATTTACAGCTTTTCCTTACAGACAACTTGAAATTTTTGCTTTTAATGAGCATGGGGGTTTTGATTTTACCTCTTGTTGGCCTACACATTCTCTCTAAGATCTGCAGCACAGCTTAATAAGCCTTTATCCATGCTCAAAAGGTGCTGCAGTTCCATTTCTGATGCTAAAAATAATTGATAATAGGGTTTCTGACTCAGTCTTAACATTTATGGGCCATGCTGCTTATTTCTGCTCTCAGAGATGTAAAGAGAAAGGGATGATACATGGAACCCATTATTTATTTCTATTTCTGTGAAGCCGACAGTTCTTTTTAGTACAGAACTCCAGTGAAAGCCAGTAAAACCTCTGTGCAGAGGGGTTGCAGGATCACACTTTTAACCATCTGAATTTAGCAGTCTGAACGTGTTCTGACTCTCCTCTTCCAAGAACCAAACAAAACGTTTGATCAAGGGCCACACAGAAACTTCTTTTAAACCTTTGTTTCAGCTTGCAGTTCTGCTTGGAAATAGCAGACTTCAGAAAATGTCCATTAAAGCCTGGTTTTATTTCTAAATAGTTACCCCAGTTGTTGCCATGTTTGGATGTATTTCAGGAATAAACGAATAAGGTTTTATTAAGTAAGTGATTAAAAGTCCTCCCAGAAAAGCCAGAAGAGTTGCTCCAAAGATGAGCTGCAGGGCCAGAGGAGCTGCAGTCCCCACATGCACCATCTGGAGCTGCGCCTGGGAACAGAATGTGGCCTGTTGTTTTTCTCTGGCTGGGTTGTCAAAAATGCAGATTTCTGTAGTACATCTGGCTGAAACTGCAATACTAAAAGCTTTTTAAAGACCCTCTAGTTTCTCTTACAAAAACAAATTATTTTTTTTTTTTAGATTTACTAGGGAATTAGAATTGCTGATATCGTGAAGCCATCAGTTCTGGTCTAATATAGAGGTATTACTCTACTCAGTGGAAATCACTTTTAGAAAAGGGAACTAAATGTTTTCTTCAGCATTTTGCAGGCATGTTTCTGTATGTGTAATTCTGGAGATAAATGTCAGTTTTTAAGGCAGGCTTACTTGACATATTCAGCTTCCAAAGTCATTAGCGCTAACTCCTTAAACAATTCCAAATCCTATGGGGATGCTGTTGGGTGTGCATCACAGCTGGACATTGGGCAGCAGTGCATGTGCACATGCCCCTCTGTGCTTGGAGTGGATAACACCAGCAGCCCTGGCCTAACTGCAGCACACCGAGTGCTGCGCTGCCGCTGAGGGTGCTGCATGCTGCAGGCTCTCACAGGATTAAGCCCAGAATCTTCGGCTTCAAGCCTCTCCACCTTTGCCTGTTGAGCACTCCCAGTTTGTACAATGCCCAGCTGTACATTCTTTGGTAACCTGTCTGCTTACTGATCTCTCAGTAGTTTATTAAGCCATACAGTTAATTTAAGTATGTCTCTATATCTTTTGTAAGTCCAGGGAGTTGTAAGAACAAGCCAAGACACAGGAAAACATCATTATTTTTCTAATCATCTCTGTCTAAATAGCCATGCATTTTCCCAAATAAATTACAGGGCAACTTTCTGTTGTGAAATCAGATCATTTCATGCATATCCTCCCTGGAGCCTCATAACATACTTAGTACAGTACTGCAGCCAAACCTCAATATATACATATATAACAAATATATGTATATACTCTGTGAGCAATGCTGAAGTTATTTAATGCCACACGATGCGATGTGCATGCATGCCAAAAGTCTTAAGATCTGGCCCTTCATCTTCATTGACTGGTGTTGAAGGTCCTTGGTATGTTTCAACAGCCCTATCCCTGATGCTTCTACACAGTTGGGTGCAAGAGCCTGTCCTGCAGCAGTAGAAAAAAAATGGTATGAGAAGCTTCATTATGTTTGAAGCACATTTCTGTTCGAGGTGGCAATGTTGTAGAGTTGTGTGGAGCTGCTAGGGGAGGAGAGGGCACAAGGGGTGGAAAAACCAACACCAAGACCTGTAAATTAGTTAAGAGGAAACCTCCCCATTCACTTTCTCGTGCAGATTAACAGGTCTCCCTCAGTATCCATCAGGAAAGTCTTTTCAAGTGCAACAGCCATTTGTGATTGTACAAATCAATTTTGTGCCAATGCCCCAACATGTTTCCCTGTGCATGGGTGCATCTATTGCTCCCTCCAGCCAGATGTGGTCCTGTCTGTACTACAGGGTTCCTCATGGTTCCTCCAGCACCTGCACATCTTAGTGCTGGCCCTTCTCAAGGACCTGGCCCCAAGGGCTTGCCCTTGACTCCCACCATGGGGCTGCACAGATGGGACATAAGGCTCTTGTGTAGAACAGAAGTTTGTACTGCTGGTAATCTAGTCTGATTTTAATACTTTTTTTATGGGAAACTGAGTTGATGGGGCACTTCAGGAGAGCCACGTCCTGAACTCTTGCTTATGCAGACGAACATTTTGAGAATTGTTTCACTGCTTTGGGGAGTCTCAGATTTTCAGCTGACCCAACGTGATGCCCATGGTGGCAGTGGGCAGCTTTTCTTGACAGCAGATTTTCACCAGCCATGACAATCAAGCTCAGGGCATCTTAGGTTTGGCATTCAACAACCAAGACACTGAAAGCAGTGAACACTTCACAAAATCAGACTGAAACAAGGCCACTGGAGAATTTGTCATTTTAAATGATACACTGAAAGCACAGAATTTTGTGTAGGCCAACAAAAAGGGCTATTTTCAATTACTGCACTGCATGACTTTTGTAGATTTTAACTTCTCTTGTTTTCTAAACAACCAATAATACTTATATTTGTCAATTAGTACTTAACACTATGTTTTCCAGTTTTAAGTTGCTATCGTAGCACTTCAGTTGACTTTTAACTTCTAGTTGAAATATAAAATCTGCCAACTCATGGCCAATCCTCACTTTTCCAAACTTACATTCTATAGCAAAATGCTGTGTCTCTGGGTTGGCTTATTGCACATGTTATTCACTGTTTAAATTTTTTACCTATAGATACCCATAATATCTGCCGAACATCTGACTAGCCACAAGTATGTTACACAGATGTAGACATTTTGTCATCAAACAGTAAGTTCCCAAAGTGTTTTTTCTTGCATTTATCTTATTTTCATGTGTGCATAATTTGTCTTTTTCAGGGACAGGATGTTTTATTTTCTTTCTAAGAAAACTAGTAAGATATGGGAAGGAGTCTCTGAGCTCCACTGGCATGCCATTCTTCTCTGAGTAGTGAGCCCATAGTTAGCAGTGACCACATTAGCTAGTGCATTGGACCAAATGTCAGTATTAGTTTGTACATGGAGCAAAATCAGAGTCTAAAATTAGAGGTTGACATTTTGTTTATGAAGGATGATGGCTCCAGCCCTAATGTGAGCCAAGGGCCAGGTCTTGGGGGGAGGTGGTTATGTTAAGCTGTCTTTAGAAAGAACAAATTTTAAATCTCCAGATTTGGAAAGCCGGCATCTCTGCAAACACAGGTGTAGCTGTCTGTCTAGCTGACACCTGATTTCTCACAAGTGCAGGTTGTCAGGTGACAACAATATGTTATGTACAGTATTTTCCTGGCATGTGTGGTATGGTGAAGAGAGGTCCCACAGCACAGGTGCAGCTCACACCTGCATTATGTCAGTGTGCATGGCAATTGGAGATAGTCTAGGTCAGCTTTGTATACTGCAATCTTCATTCTGAATAGCTTGAAATCTAGGTTTGTATGCCTAAGCTTGAGAGACTTTTTTCTCCCCTGTATCTTCTTGTGAGTAAACTGTAGATTCCAGTCTGTTACTAAATTGCCTGTTGTCATTAAGACCACCTGCAGCACATCAGCTCCCCGAGGATAGCTTGTCATTTGTACTGCCTTTCTCTCCCTTGCACTCCATTTCTGCTGCAGTTTTTATTGAATGGCTCAGCAATAACGGAATTATTATGTAGGGTGAGGATTAACTGATTTGCCACAGTGGGTTTATAATAATAGATATTCTTTCAGGTGAACAAAGCCCTTGTTAAACTGCTTGAGTGACTGAGGTGGGATGCCACTTATCTGCAGCGTAAATGTGCTACCAAGCTTCCCCCTGCAGTCAGCTGGGACTGGGGGTGTGCCCATTGTAGAGACCACTCTTTAGAGGCATCCCTCACGCGATAGGCAACAGAGACTAGAGAAACAGCTACACTAGTGCAGTTAGGTGTGAAAAATTACCTTGGGAACACAGAGCCCAGATTCCTGAGGGTATTCAGGTGCCTCTCAAATATTTGCTTTGCAGGGGCAGCAGCAGCAGAGGGAAGAGAGGGGGCCTGGGGCAGCTGGCAGCATTGCCGCAGTGCTGGATGGTGAGCTGCCTCCCAGGGTCTGGGCTGTAGGGCCGGGAAGCCGTCCCCAAGTTCTGATTCCACAGCTGGGGCTTGAGAACAGCAGGAGGCCAGCATCTTGTGCACTTTTACCCCTGCAGAATTCAGGTGTGATGGGAAGCTGTGCTGCAAGAACACCTACTAAAGAGAGGGACATCCCACAAGGGGCATGTGCAAGCTTCCCCATGCTGGGTGGCAGATTTCCTTGCTGCACGTGTAAAGTTGGGGCTGATATGGTGCTAACAAAAAGTTATGACTGTGTTGAAAATGCTCTATCTTCTTTTATTTCTAGATCATAACTAAAGAGAAAAGGACAGTGTGTTTGGGTGGGGAAGAGGACAAGCTCATTAGCCATAATGTATATACTGTCAAGCAACACGCGGAAACGCCCTCAGCAGTAAGACATCCACACATTGCATGTTAACGAGATGAAACAAGAACTTGGAAATCCACTGCACACTGTTGCCTATATACTTTGTACATTGAATTGGTATTTGTGCTGAGGTGATCTTATTGTCTAAAACCTACAACATTGTCTATCTTTTCTAGAACAGAAGTATGCATATGTGTTTGAATATGCATATGTAGTCTATTTCCTACATAACCATGTATGTCACCTTGAAAAGACAGACGATGATGTAAACATGAATCTATTATGTATTGGTACGTCTGTAGACCAAGATATAATTTTTTAAAGTAAGTTTATTTCTTTCAAGGTTTACAAATAACAAAGGTGCACCTTGTATTTAAAATTGCCATTATAGACAAGAGCGTGCATGCACAGTAATTTTTGTTTAAGAGTAATATTTTTAATGTAATAGATTGTAAGAAGTGGTAAGAGAGGTATCTGACAGAGATGAATGTGCCAAGCAAAACCACAACTGTGTATATTTTAAAGCACATCAATGGCTTTAAGTACCACGTTGTTAAGGATTCTCATGAAGTGCCATAGACTGTACATCCGATTAGAGTATTATTTCTGCAGTGTTATTTTCAGAACCACATTTTCACTTACTTTGTTAGTACTAATCAGTCAAAGGGCACCATTCTGTTCAAACCAAAGCTGTCTCAGAAATGGCCAACTATTCCTTACCGTAACAGTAGACAGCACAAGAAAGATACTCTAGCCGTACAAATTAACCCATACTGGACATATATATTAACTCTTTTAAGGCATTGTAGTGTAATATTTATGCATATTTTACTGTATAACATGATATACGAAAGGGAAAAGCCATTTCTGAGACACAGTAACAAATGTTTGAGGAACTTCTTTTGCTTCTATTTATAGCCTCTGTCAAAAGTCAAAAGGACTATAAATGTTTTGCAGAGATGGGTTTCACTTTTACTTCATCAAAGTCACGCTCTACATGGTGACTCTAAACAAAGACACAAAAAGCACTGACATCAGATGCATGACAAACCAAAATATGAAAAAATGGAGATGTTAATTAGTGTAGAAATTGGGTGGGTTAAATACTTGGGTGAGTTTTATATGTGATTTTTTTTGTTCAGATTAACTGCTTATAGCCTTAGAAAGCCTTTACAAAATAAAAACAAAAAAAAAATAGATGTGCATTCAAGTTTTAAGAACGGATTCATCCAAAGGAATTCCTTTTTGTGGTTTGGATGTTGCAGCTAGTAAAGGATATTTTTGCTCTGTTCAGCAAAGTGCTGAAGTGGGGGCCAGGTCACTGGTAGCGTAGCGTGGAGTGGAAGAAGCGTGAGTTCAGTTGTAGAACTCTCCATACTTCCAAGTTTACTGCAAGTTTTTATGCTTGAGAGAGATGCTTTATAGTATAAGAATGATGTGTTGATTTTACTGATTGTACTGTACATCTATTAAAGCCTTAGATTATTACATTACGGGTTAAAACCCATACCAATGTAATTTCAATCGTGTTAAGAAAGTATAGGTGACTTCACATGTTATTGTAGTTACTTAACATTATAGAATATTACTTTTTTTTTTCTTGTTAAAAGTGTAGGTTTTATTTCTTACATTTATTAGATTGTTTTCATTTTCTATTACCAGTTGAATACCATTTCAGTTTATAGAATTTTGTTTTATTAGAGTTTACTGATGACTTTTTCAAAATACAAAAAAAAAAGGTAGTTTTCTTCATAACATACTCAGTTTTGAATTTACATGTAGTGTCATATGAGTATTCGTATTTGTTAACTAAATGATTTATATTTTACTGATTTAATATTACAATGTAAGAATGTCAGTCATTGTTAGTTCTTGTCTAGTTTTCATTAAAAGAACAAAGATCTTTTATATGGATATCTTATAATTATATAATCATTGCTAAGTAAGAAGTTAAGTTGTTGCTATGGCAACAATCCTGGCAGACAATTGAGTAATATTTTGATGATTTATTTTGTTTGTAATTAGTTATTATGAGAAAATCTAGTTCCTAGATATTAGAATAAAATTTATTTTCTACTGTATCCATTTCAAATGTTAAAATATTGTTTAAATATTTTTTGAAATCCCTGAATATCAGGCCTTGTTATAAATAAGCTGCATAATCAATAGATCAAGGGACTTTTTGTTGATAATCCAAATACTCAAAGTTTACGTAACAAGAATTATCGTGTGTGTGTGCAAACTCTTGAGGGTTGATTATGCTGCAGTTTAGCATGTGGGAACGTATAGAGAGAAGGTTGACTTTTTGCACTTCTGTATATAGTCAAAAAAGAGAGAAACCTGTATAATAGTAAGATCTTATTTTGAATAAAAATGTCTATAATTACAAGGAGTTTTGTTAAGGCTAATAAAATGACAGGCTGAACAAAATTGCTTGCAAAAGTGGCACAGAGTTAGCACTCCATACCCCTTCAAAAAAGTTGCTTTGCTTTATGTGGACAGCTTGTAGTTTGCCAGGATTTTTTCAGCTGGAAAGATACGCCATCCTTCCAAGACCTCATGACTGACAAAAGCTCCACTGGTTCAAATCTGCCTGAAAACCATTCAGAAAAAAAAAAAAAGCAAAAAAGAAAAAAAAAAGAAAAAAAAGCAGGTACTTCAAACCATCAAGGTGAAATCATGGATCAAATATTCCGTACATTATTCAAAAACTACTGCATGTTTAAAGTATCAAAAAGTATATTAAAGATATATGCTATTCAGACCAGTTTCTGACAATTTCAGTGGTTTATTGTTCACAAAAAAAGATTCTTAAAAACAAATACTGACTTTCACAAAAGAGTTGAATCATGAACAGGCAAACCAAACAGCACACCGTAGCTGTAGTTGTTATGTGATTATTTTTATTGCTGTAGTGGTCCTGTTCTTTTAGCAGGTGAAAAAAAAAACCTGGGAAATTGTACCATTTTAATGGAAAGCATTCAAGAAACCTTGTCATCACACGAATGCCAAAGCTGGAAAGACAAAGCGATTGGGCCATTGCCATACCTGATCTCTCCAGTACTCACACTGAATAATTGGTGAAGTTGCACTTACTTGCAACCCCGCAACTTTCATCTGCTGAAAGGACAGATGTGCTTGGTTTTACTATTATGTAATCACAGACTTACTTTTTGCTTGTAGTTGCTCCAAATTATGTACTCTGTCCTGGGCTGCAATTTGTTTTTATGCTTATTTTATTATTACTGCTATAGATGACCTTGCTGTATGGAAAAAAAAATAAAGTGAAATTGCCCTAATAAAAGGTCTCTTTCTTAATTACATTTTTCTAGATCAGGCTAAAAATTACACTGCTTCCTTTGCACACATTTTCAGTTTTATCTGTGCATTTGTTCGACTGAAGGGATATCATTTATTTGGAGGAAAAAGATGCTGGTATTGTTTTTTTTTTACAGCGCATCCTATGTTAAAGATACAGTAGATCTATGAAGAATACTAAGGAAGTGTGAGGTTATTGTTAAATCCAGAAGATAAATACAGAGTACCAGGATACCATAGATCGAGATTGAGCTTTTATTACCCTCTTGTGGCAGTACTTTCAAGATGCAGGTAAAGGAGATGGGCCCTCAGCAGCTGCCCCCAGTTTTGGTACCTGCAGCAAGGCAGTGACTGGCATTAGAGGGAGCCCCATTTCCACATTTTACTCTTCCCTGATCAGCGTCCCACCAATCACTGGTAATCAAAATTATTGACCAAAAATATCACAGGCTTAATTTGGAAAATGAAACTGTCAGAACAGTTGGTTTCCAAGAGGATTGCAGGTGTCTCCTGTGCTCATCGGCACAGCCCGAGAGACCTCAGAATTCAGGCTGGTTTTGTCCACTTCTCAGCTCAGCACACCCAGACACCTCATTCCTGTCAGCAGAGCCCCTGGCTTATTGGTACTGTGTTTGCATTCATGCTTGCAGTGACCCCAGCAGTTAAATCTATCATTGCATTTAGCTGCCAAGTGAAAAATACTGTGTCAAACAGCGCCAGCACTCTAAATTAGCAAAAATAACGTGACTTGATTCTCTCTATCTGATGAAGGCAGCCATGGAGGTTCTTGCCGTTGATCTGGCAGCTGCTGTTGGTCAGTTGGGCAGGATGCGACTCAGTGGTGTGGACCCTGGGCCACTGGCCCCACAGAGCTTGGGGTCACGCAGGACTCTGCCACAGCCCGACCAGGTTTGTCCCATCGCACTGGGCTGTGCTGGGGGCTCAGGCTGGTAAGCAAGTACCAAGCAGCAGCTCTGCCCCATAGCAGGGCTCACACAGGAGAGCCAAGAAAAATCAAAGCACTCAGCTGCTGAAGAGAATCATGAGAAGGAGCTCCTGCCAAAGCAGCGTCAGCACCTGCAGCCCAGGAAGCCCAGAGCAGTGGCATGTCGCTGGCCAGAGCTGGGGTGGTAACAACCATGGAAGCAACAACAGCAGCTGTAGCAGTTGTTAAAAGCGAAATATAAGAATTTTGTCCAAAGGGATCCCTGGGTATCTGCAGCTGAGATGCTGTCTGAAATGACTGAGGGATTCTCAGCCTTTGGGGAAGGAGGAGCAGAAGCCTGAAAAGGAGTTTGAATGGCCTTTGTATGATCTCTAGTGAAAGCAGGGAATGGTGCCAGGAAGAAGGAAACAGAGTAATTCCGAAGGTCTTTTGCATCCGGGTATGAGTTGTAATAAAAAACAGCCTATATCCTGCCCAAACAGAGCTGATCACACCACTGTGCTCCTGGCAGCGGCCTCATGCTGTGTGCCTCAGTGCCTCAGACTGGCTGCCAGCGCTGCCTCCGTGCTGGGGAGAGGTGCTGGGTCAGGTACGGCTCTGCCCTCTGGCAGCACCAGAGACACACAGCACATGTAGGGTTGGGGAGAGCGGCACCGTGCTGTGGGATGCAGCAACCCATCCCAGCATCAGCGCCTCCGGCCCCGTGCCACAGGGAGAGCAGGCTTGGAGAATCACACACATGCCTCCAGCGGTGCTGTGTGCTCGTGGGTGTGGTGGGGCTCCGCTGGGATAAAGGGCTGGAGGCAGCAGGGCACGGCTTGACTTGGGAGGTGGCTGCAGGACAGAGCTGGGAGCCTCAGGGTGTGCAGGTAGGACCTGATTGCTGCCAGGTGGGTGTAGTGTTGGGGTCTGCTGGGGGGAGATCCTCCAGGACAGGGCTCCACCACAGCACTGGGAGGGCGCCAGCACCAGGGAAGGCTTTGCCTGATGCTTGTGCAGCACTGGCTGGGGTCTCATCTCCAGGTCGGTCTTGCCAAGGTACAGCTCAATGCATCTGGTTTCTGGCTAATGGCAATGGGGCTGCAGTGCCATGGGGATCCCCTCAGGTTTGTGGTTCTGCCTGGGCTCTGAGAGTTAGTGATCAAAGTGGCAGGTGGTAAGGGGTCCTTGATGCTGCTTTTAAGGAGAAGAAAGGATGAGCCTCTTGCAGCTGACCTGCCAGAACTGGTGGGCCCCTTCCATGGGGTGAGCTGCCTGTGGCATGGATACGCCTCTCTCAAAGTGCTTTCCAGCTTATTGCTGTGCAGAGCTGCCTGGTTTTGAAGAGGCACAGCTGAAGTCCTCCAAAACAGCTTGTATGCAGCTGCTTTAGCCGGGATTTCTCATTGCTGCTGGTGGTGCTGAAAGCCCTGTGGAGGGGTGGGATGGGATGGGATGGGATGGGATGGCTGGTGACAGTGACAGTGTCTAGAGGTGCTTTGCAATAACTCAGTCTGCTGATAGAGCTGTGCTGGAGGAAGCCCAAGTGCCTGTGGTGTTTGCAGCTGCCTGCAGCTTGTTATATAGACTCAAGGAGCAAACCAAGAGTGGGTAAGAAGTTGATGTGCTGTATCTTTCATGGGAGTTGGTGAAGATGTTAGAAGGAGTATTATTCCTGTGCTAATAAACCACAGGAGGAAATGAGCCACAGTGGTATTTCAGGAATGCACTAGAAATGAACTGCAGTTACTCCTGAGCACCCAAAACCCCAGGGAGGGTATGGCCAAACAGCATTCATCACACACCTGTACTTTGTACCTAGGAATAGGCAATTTGGAGTCTTTTACCCATCGCAGGAATTTAGCAAGCTTGTTGTGGCATGTATTGGCAATTACCTGGCACCAGCAGGGAAACCAGCAGTTAAATAGTGGCAAGAGGAGAGTGACAATTACGGAGTAAGACTGGTTATGCTCTTCTGAGGGCAAGCAGCACGTGGCACAGCATGTCCAGTGTGACAGGAGGGGGTCCCTCCCTTGCAGCACCCAGCCTGTGAGGGATGGGATGGGGGTGCTGTGGGCACAGTGCGGACCCTTGGCTCTGGAGCAGAGAGAGCAAAGTCACTTTGACTGTTTTCATGTGCCCCAGGCCACAAGGCAGTGCAGTGGTGGGAGGCACTTGCAGCACTCTCTGAGGACTGGGGATGTATCTGAGGGTCTGGGAGAGTGAGCCCAGCCTGTCCTCCTTGCTGTGGGAACAGGAATGAAACCACAGGGCTGAGAGAAGGTGCCCGAGCTGTGGGGTGCTGGAGAGATGCCCAGACGGGCTAGGCCAGGAAAGAGGTGGGATGCTTGTGCTGAAAAGCAATGTCTGCACTGGAGAAAACATTCAGTCGTAAGGGAAATGTTTTTTCTCTGCTCTTCCTTTGATGCTTTGCTTGCCTGGATTTGCTGGTTATCCAGCCTGGGCTGTATACGGAGCACATGGTATCTGGGGCTGTACTCGCACCGGGAGCACAGTGTGCTGCGTAGGGCTGGGCACACAGCCTCAGGAGCAGCTTTGCAGCTCGGCTGCAGCAGCTACGGCTGCCTCCTGACCGTGGCGCTCTGCAGGGATGTTGTGAAATGCTGTTTGAGGAAAACAAGAAACCCTTCCATGAAGCAGTGTTACTAACTGCCTTTTCCACCCATACCTCGTTTTTTCTCTTCTCAGTGCATACCTATGGTTCAGGAAAAGGTCAGCAGTGGAGCTGCTGCTTTCCACCTTCCTCTCAAGTATGGCTGGCTTTTAGGTGGCCTAAACCACAAAACAACACTTTATACAAAAAGAGCTGTGTATCTTACTGTTAGCATTAGTAGGGCACAGTGTCACAGGCGGAACTCCTGTGGTAACAAGCCTCCACTGAGTGGGCAAGTCTCAGCTGAGCTGTTTGTCTTGGTAAGGCTAAAAACAGAGTCCTGTGTCCTGCTGATAGCAGGCTTAGTGCAGGGCAGGGACCATGTCCTGCCATCAGCACACAGAAGAAAAGCTGCTCCCAGCACTCGCTTGAGTGTGGAGTCCATCTTGGTGTTTGTGTGTGTGTTTGGCAAATCCAGGTGGACCTGCCTGGGGTGGTGCTGCTGGGAAGCCCAGGTGGCTTCTCGTCTCCCTCTTCCTGCACCTATCTCTTGCTGTGCAGCCAGGAGCAGCGTTGCTTGTGCTTGTTGCCTGTGCACTTGACTGCTGCCCCATGACAGAGCTGCTCCTGTGCTCTCCCACTGTTTCAGCAGAGGCGCGTTTGACACTGGGTGACTTGGGGGGCTGGTGCAGTGTTCCAGCCTGGGTGCTGCTGGCTGTGGGTGCTCCCTGGACACATGTGTGTGGGACCTGCTGCGGTCGAAGTGTGGGGTGTGCTGAAATCCTGAACACGAAGCATGAAGAAGAGCCTGGCTCAACACCAAGTGCTGGGTTACTGCGCACTCATTAATGGTGGGTAACAACCAGCATCAGACACTGAGAGCTGCTGCGCTTCGGCTCTGTAGCAAGCGCTGCATCTCATTTCACGGGGTATTTCTGCCGCCAGCCACAGTGTGGCAACAGCCTGTGTGGACTGTGTGCCAGCCAGCCTGGGGCTGAGGGCTTACGTGTTTCGCGGGTGCAGGTCACCCTGAGTGCCTGGCGGTGCAGCGGCCCCTGCTGCCCTCCCTGTGCAGCATCATTGCCTGTGGCAGGGGGGAGCTGGGCCTGAGCTCTGGGTTTGGATGATTACAGTGACGCTCTGGGGCACTTAAGTGCGAGGCGAGCTGGTCCTCAAGTCCAGTGCAAGCAGCAGCTGGGGTGGGAATAGGTGTGAGCTCTGGCAGTGCCGGGAGCCTGGGCAGGAGGTGATGAACAGCCACCCATCCCTGCCGTGTCCCCATTTGCTGCGTGCTTGGCACCACTGGCCTTGTGCACCTCTGCTGCAGTGCGCAGGGGCCAGTCACTGCTTCTCACAGGGCTGTTGTGACTGTACCATGTGTCCTGCAGCAAAACTGAAATGGTGGTGAAATAATGCCTGTATTTAAAATGCCGTAACTGTAGCTGGTACACACACGTGTGA